GTTGTACTGTCTTTAATGATGTTGATGGCGTCTTCGATGTATAGATTAAAAAGTAGCGGTGACAGTGTGCATCCATGTCTGACTCCCTTCCTAATATTTACTTCTCTACGTTGCATCCCCAGCTCTATAACTGCCTGTTGCTCTTTATACAAACTAAGTATCACTCTTCTATCTTTGTAATTCATCCCTACATTTTTAAGTATATTTAACATCTTCTCCCATTTAACATTGTCAAAAGCTTTCTCTAAATCTACAAATCCTATGTACGCATTGTTTCCTTTTTCTATCGTTTTCTCTATTGCTACCCATAAAGCTAGAATGATCTTCCCCTAATAGTTCTTCCGCCCTTTTTTCCATCCTCCTCTGTACAATTCTAGTTAAGATTTTTGACGCATGGGAAGTTAAGCTAATTGTTCGAAATTTCTCGCACCTATCCGCGCCCCTCTTCTTAGGTAATGTTACTACTACGTTCCGTTTATAATCCTCTGGGACTTTCCCCGTTTCGTAAATGTGACTAAGTATAATATGTAAAAATACACACTTCATTGTTATTATCATCATCATCTCCGTCATCATAAAGTCGTCAGACACCTCCAATCCTTCCTATCTTGAGAATTTTCCCAAATTAGAACAGAAGTCTATTCTAGGTCTTCCTCTGGCTCACTTTCCCCGCACTTCTATTTTTAAAATGCCCCCAACTAACCTTCTTAGTGTCTTGGAGAGTGTCCTACCAACTTATCCTTATCAAATTTCTATATTAACTGAACGCGAGCACATGAGACGCCATCTCTACACCTCTACCGTTTCCTTCATCCTGACTTTAAACTTTAAATTAAACGTTTTTGTTTTCTTTTCTTAGTGAAAACTCCTTTCTTTTCGTAAGTATTCTGGAAGCAAAAGAGTTGCTAGGTTCAAACAAAGAAGACATCCTTTTGGACACTTACGTTAGGGTGTTCCTATTGCCGGATAAAATATCAAACGCACAAACGAAAATCTACAAAGACTCCCGTAATCCAAGCTATAAGGAGAGGTTTCTCTTCGAACTGCACCCCAGGGAGCAATGCCAAAAGTCCTTATGTTTCCAAGTGTATTCCACGAGCAACCTGTCGCATACACTAATAGGCGAAGGTGAATTCAAACTAAACGACGCAAGTTTACGACAACCTGTCACCACCTGGGTCACTCTTACAGACACTGGTCAGGTACAAATTTTTCTTGTGATTTTCTTTCAAAATTCAATCATCAAAAGAAACCCATAAAATAGTATTGGCCCTAGAACCAGTGATTTATTTGAAATACTTGCATTTAATATGCAAATACAAAATAAAAAATACTTATTTTTGTCTTGCATTTAAACACTTTTTTGAGAAAAGCATTTTGTATTTTNGTTGGTAGGACACCTTCTCAGGCATGAAGGTCTAGTCAGAGACATGTTAGAGGCAGAAACAGGAGTTAGAAGGGGTAGAGGTAGACCTAGATTAGATTACTCTTCGCAAATAGTTAAGAATGTGGGCTGTTCTAGTTTTAGTGAAATGCGAAGTTTAGCTCAGGATAGGAAAGAGTGGAGGTAAGTGTCCAACCAGACTGATGACCTTATGATGATGATGATGATGATGATGATGATGTTTCTTCTATCCTGAATTGTCTGACTTCCCAGATACCGAAAATCAGCTACCCTTAAGTATAATATGAAAAAATACACACTTTATTATTATTCATCATCATAAAGTCATCAAACATCTTCAATCCTTCCCTTCGCCAGCATTTCCCCAAAACTAGAACATCCCGTATCTCTATCTGTAGCCTAATAAACAAACGATGCAACCTTTATCTCCTCAATCGTATCGCGTAAGCGTTGTCCTTTCATGGGCCTCTTCAGATTCGGGAACAAGATAAAATCACAGGGGAACAGACCTGAGGGATCCCGTTGGTTGCGGCATTATTAATGTGTTATTTTTGGCCAAAAATTCCCGCACAAGCAACAACGAGTGAGCAAGGGCGTTATCATGGTGAAAAAGCCATTTTTTGTTCTTCCACAAATCCGGGCGTTTATGGAAGATTGCTTCCCGCAAATTGCGCATAACTTGTAAGAAATATTCCTTATTGACCGTTGTACCCTGTGGCAAGAACTCATGATGCACCACGCCCCTGAAATCGAAGAAAACTGTAAGCAAATCCTTCATATTCGACCTAACTTGGCGCGTTTTTTTCGGTCTCGTGCGGCTGCTTCCATTGGGATGATTGAGCTTTTGTTTCCACTTCATAACCATATACCCATGATTCATCACCAGGTATGACCTCTGGAGAAAATTTTATCAATGTTTTCGTCTGATGTTGACGTACTTGGACGTCCGTCACGCTCTCCTCGGCCCTCTGAGAACATTTTGTACCACCGATAAACGTTGCTTCGGTCCAAGGTAGCTTCATCATATGCCACAGTCAACATTCGGAATGCGTCCGCACACTTAATTTATTTTTTTATCAAAAATTTTTATACAGATTCTTTGATCCATTGTTTTGGATAGGCAAAAATTGAAGACGAGCCAAAATACGTGCAAGCAAAGGAGCTGTCAAAAATTAAGTGAACATTCAACATGGCCGAACTTGTCAGTATCAAAATTCGCGATACTTTCAGAACAGACCTCGTATATGTATTTTTGAACACCCTTTAACAATCTATTGTTGACGAAACAGTAGATGATCTAGAAAATGAAAGCTATTCCAATTTATTTCAAAGGTATATGGGAACTATTAAGAGTTACTTCGATGCTTGACTTAACACCGGCGTCAAGAATATATCTGTCGTCATAAAAGGTGTACGAATACGTTTCTTCAAAAAACAATTATATTTTATTACTATTTGCTGTATACTACAAAGATGTCGTTTCTGAAAGCAAAAATAAACAAAAGAACTTGAAAGCTTTTTACTGTATGTAATGGAAATTCAATAATATGCTGCTGAATTGTTAATATTGGTACTTTATTACATTGGGGTAGAAATTCACATTTCTTGAGAGTTTCAACAAAATTATACCTTTCTAATTAATAAGTACTTACAAAACTTATTAAGTACAAAAAATGTGGTGAACTTCTTCGTCAATGTAATAAAGTACCTTCATTTATAGGACTTATAAAACTTCAAATTAATTTCGTGGAACTGCTAATTAAAACTAATTTAAGATATTTCTCATTTACTGCCAGAAATTTTACAGAAACAATTATTTTTTGTGAATGTAATAAATAGGAATTAGCATTAAATCAATAATTTGCTTAGGAAATATTCAAATCCAAAAGTGTCTGTCATTTAAAAACAGAAAATATTCTGAATAGAGCTTTCCAAAACTTATTGTGGTTAAACGTAAGTACTAAAAAATCTCTGCTTCTAGGTTTCAATTGTATTCAAAAGCATGAATTTTAATGACGCAGTTTATTAAAAACATTCCCGAACAAGCGTCACACTTTTCCTCCAAAACTCATTAAAATTTTTATCTAAAGTACGAAAGCATTAACATTATTTGGAAAATCTAACAAATAGAACAAGACTGAAAATGTAAATACACTAAAAGGTGTGCTGTCGGGCAGATTGTGATTTTTTTCGTTTCTATAAATATTTTGTCAAGTGCTATTAACCTTTAAAAATAAAAAGTAAAAGCGATACAGAAGGTCGTATTTTAAGTGCATCGCATTACAACATAATTTACTTACAAATTTCCAAAAGAAATCACAAAGATGTCGTTTCTGAATTATATGTTATATGTACGTGTTTTTTTGAATTTTAATCTTATTATAGAAGCGTCTGAAATGTTATTATCGAGTTTTATTGTGATCATCATATATATGGTCGTCAGTCCTGAGGCCGGTTGGACACGCTTCTCCATTCTTTCCTATCCTGAACTAATCTTCGCATTTCTTTAAAAGTATGACACCCCACATCCTGAACTATGTATTTGTGAACTGCAATTTAATCTAGATCTACATCTCCATCCTTTAATTCCTGCTTCTGCTTCTAATACGTATCCAACTACCCTTCATGCCTGATAAGGTGTCCTACCAACCTATCTCGCCTATTTTTTAAATTTAATTTTCTGGTCCTACCAACCTATCTTGCCCAATTCTTACTGACTTTTATAGCGTCTTCTGTCGTCTTAATTTTTCTAATATCTCCTCATTAACCCTCTCTATCCACGGTATCCTCTTCATTCGCCTGTAATACCACATTTTGAACGCTTCTAACCGTTTCTTTTCTACCGTGATTAGCGTCAACGTTTCTAGAGCCGTGCTCTAGATACACACCCTTGACAATTTTTTCGAATTCCCTTTACGAATGGGTGCGAAACATGGACAGTGGGCGCGGCGAAAAAAGAAAGGTTAGAAACGTTCGAAATGTGATGTTACAGGCGAATGATGAGGATACCGTGGATATTAGAGAAGATCAGAAATGGAAAGGTATTAGAAAGAATACAACAGAGGACCCTATGGAAGTCAATAATAGGCGAGATAGGTTAGTAGGACACGTTCTCAGGCATGAAGGTCTAGTCAGAGACATATTTGAAGCAGAAACAGGAGTTAGGAGGGGTAGAGGTAGACCTAGATTAGATTACTGTTCGTAAATAGTTAAGGATTTGGGTTATTCTATTTTTATTAGGAAAATGCGAAGATTAGCCCAAGATAGGAACAAGGGTAGGTGCGTGTCCAACCAGTCTTAGGACTGACGACCTTATGATGATGATGTACTTACAATTACTTTTAATATTTCTTACAGGGAGAGGACAGAATCGACACTGGCCATAGCGATCCCACGACCAAAATCCTCTATTAGTGTAGCCGAGCTAGCATCAAAATCATCATTTCCCATTTGCCTTACACCACCGCCCACACCCCTCACTCCCAATTCCACTGCAATGAAAACGCCTCAGTTCACCCCTAATAACACGGCTAATGCCGCAGCCGCTGCTATCACGCCATCCGATGAAATGGACCAGTGCATAGCAGCTGCACTTCAAAGGGCTACTTCTTTTGAAAGTGTTAGCTCAGACACTTCCGTTAAATTAACTGATTTAGAAGAACCAACAATTACAGGGTATCTTTGCCTCGGCCTGGAATACGATAGGTAAGCTTTAAAACAGTTTATTAAAAGTGTTATAGTTTGATTGAATGTTTCACATTTAAAAGAATCTTCCAAATTTGGTGGTGATATAAATATAGGGTTGTTCGGAAAGTCATTTCGTTTTTTCTTTGTGGAAATGAAAGACAGTTTTCGTATAATAAACAAATACTTTATTAAATTATATATTGACCGTTCTGGTCCAACACCTTTTGCCATCTTTCTGGTAGTAGCATAATTCCACGCTCATAAAATTTTTGGTCTTTGCTGGCAAAAAACTGAT